ATTTTTGCCTTCATCATGTCCTCCTGCTTATTCAGCTGGTGCTGCAAACAGTGAAATAAGTAATTAGCCAGGATGATTTTAATTAAAATGGAACATACCAATTAATGAATGAAAGTGCTGGCATACTTGCTAATTTAACAACTCATTCATGGTGCCAGTTGTCCAGTTAAAGGACTGAGAAGGGAAAACGTTCTTCCTCCTCTTAGATGAGATGATTAGATGTTATCCAACTGTCTTTATTCTTGTTAACAATTGGTTTCCTACTTGAGAATAGCATGAAGTTTTGTTAAAATTGCTAGAGTGATCCTCTCCCCGTCCAGTTGTCTCAGATGTGACACACTCAGTGTGGTTCCTAATGGGACTTGCGTGTATATTCAATTAAGATTTTTTTTATTTTTTTACTTTTTTTTTAGTTGGAGTATGCTCTGTTGCCCAGGCTGGAGTGCAGTGGCTTGATGCTGGCTCGCTACAACCTCCACCTCCTGGGTTCAAGCAATTCTCCTGCCTCAGCATCCTGAGTAGCTAAGATTACAGGCACGTGCCATTATGTCCGGCTGATTTTTGTATTTTTAGTAGTGACAGGGTTTCACCATGTTGGCCAGGCTGATGTATAACTCCTGACCTCAAGTGATCGTCCCACCTCGGCCTCCCAAAGTGCTGAGATTACAGGAGTGAGCCACCACACACAGCCTCAGTTAAGAATTTTTTATTGTCTTCCCAAGCCCACTCGGCCACCTCCTTGGGCCATGCCATGTTGGACACAACTCAGACTTTATGATCCAATTTCTCTATGCACACTTCTTCAACTACCCCTCACTTTATATTAATAGCATGGACACCACTTCATTGTATTCCTTTGTATATCTATATAATACATGTGTATCTTTGTGTTTATTCTAGGCCTAACCCTGGAAGGGACAGATCCACATACTATAAGACTCATCAGTCTGAGTTCCCCTATATGCAGATGAATAGACCAAGGATCAATTGCCAACCCATAGGTGGCTCCTAATTCAATGGCCTGTGACTTATATAATCTGCTTTGATACCTGAGCTAAAGTCCATCCGATTTTCCAAAGACTTTGAACTATGCCAGAAGATAACATATGCTTGGGAAATAGTTTGGTCCATCTGTATGCTGATAAGTAAGCCCAAGAAGTCAGAGTTTAAAGGTTAATTGGCCAACAATTGGTAGAAATATGTTTATGCTCTAAGCAGTAGTTGTTGTGTCAGGGATTCCATCAGATACAACTAGAAGAAGAAGATATATCTCCTGGAGTAATTTATCCTTCTTTAAGGTCTCATCAGGATCATAAATTTTTATTTTATAGGTGTAGACTTGGTTGAGTATTTCCTCGACTATAAGTTTCCTCATTTTGATTCCTCAAGGACATAGAAATAGAAATTCCATTTGACCCAGCAATCCCATTACTGGGTATATATCCAAAGGATTACAAATCGTTCTACTATAAGGACACGTGCACACGAATGTTCATTGCAGCACTGTTTACAATAGCAAAGACCTGGAACCAACCCAAATGCCCATCGATGATAGACTGGATAGGGAAAATGTGGCACATATACACCATGGAATATTATGCAGCCATCAAAAACGATGAGTTAGGGTCCTTTGTAGGGACATGGATGAACCTGGAAACCATCATTCTCAGCAAACTGACACAAGAGCAGAAGATCAAACACCGCATGTTCTCACTCATAGGTGGGTGTTGAACAATAAGAACACATGGACACAGGTAGGGGAGCACTACACACTGGGGTCAGTTGGGGGGAAATAGGGGAGGGAGGGTGGGGGGTGGGAAGCTGGGGAGAGATAGCAAGGGGAGAAATGCCAGATGTAGGTGATGGGGAGGAAGGCAGCAAATCACACTGCCATGTGTGTTCCTATGCAACAATTCTGCATGTTCTTCACATGTACCCCAAAACCTAAAATGCAATAAAATAAACAAATGGGAAAAAAAAAAGTTTCCTCATTTTTTATTTTAAATCTTCAAGCCCTTATTATCTACTTCATCATAGATGTCAGTGGCATTTCTGTGTCCATTTTTTTCTCTTTTTCACTTATCACCCATGTGAAACTTGAAGTTTTCCTTCTGATTATTTTCTTCTACTTTCTTCATGTGTTTCTTCACTCCAGTCACATTTCATCTTTTCCCATCAGCCTTGAGTTTCTGTTATATTCCACAGATCCCAAGTGGCATGCAGAAAAGATGCCTACATTTTTTTTTTCTACCTATGAATCTGTATGGCTGGCCAGGCATGGTGTCTCATGCTGTAATCCCATCACTTTGGGAGAC